CTACATGTGGCATCTGTATCACAGAAAATTGTGATAATTCAAATAATTCCACTTTAAATAAAAGATAACATCCCATGACATGTGTTTAATGTAATATCATTTACTTACAATATTTAATTCATCATCGCCATCCCAACAAAAGCTCTGGAATAGAAGAAACAGGAGTAAAATAAACAGCAGAGCTGGAGAATTATAACTGTTTCCACCGACAGGTTAATGGAATAGACAATATGTACTTTATGGCAAAGGGTTAAGATTAACTAATATAAACCTATCAGAGAGAATCAGTATCGCATGGTTACATTACCCTGGGCAGACAGTAACCACTGTGGAAGAAGCTGGGGATGGTCATACTTCTTTCCAGCGATTCATCTCCTAGAATTGTCCATGAGGGAGACGGCCTGGTCACAAAATAAGAAACACAACAGGACTAATCAGTGATATAATAAGAGATGTGTGGGACAATACATACAAAGTGTAAATGGTAACTTAATGGTCTAATTAAGACCCTTTAGCCTAAAGTCTGACACTGCCCACCTTAACTAATAATACAGTTAGTTATAAGTTACACACCTCACTTGTAAAGGTAGTAATCATTATTTCAAACACAATAATAATTTAAAGAATGTTGATATCAATTAGAAAATCCTATTTCTAGATTCTCTTTATAATATTTCAAGTATTTCAGGAACAACAAGCTATTAAACAATAATGCACCTTTAATTACTGATAATCAGTTTGTAATAATCTTATCAGGTTATCTGCCTCAAGAATTGATCATCAGTTCTGGAATACCATTTCACATGTACATTTTATGATAATTTCATTCAGGATCATAATTTTAAAAGATATTAATATTATTAGAACTTCAGTTGGGGTGTAATTTTGAATCAACTGAATGTACACAGGATGAGCATATGAGAACATTTATACATTTATTTGCAAACAAACTGATTTCACATTATTGAAAATTTAGATTTAATTCGCTGCTGTTGGAACAAAACCTTGTATCTCCATTTTTGTCGTTTTTCAGTTTGACATAATTTGAAAATGCCTGTTTGCCTTTACATTCTGTGTAAATCTCACGACGACTGAACCAAAAGAAATGGCCCAAAATGACCTGGAAAAAAGTCTGGTTCCACTGACTTTAATTAAAAGTAAACTACATTTTCTCCTTCTTCTGTACAGTTATCATTTGGGGAAATGCGAGGTTTTGATCCAAGAACAGCGAATTACTTTTTGCAAAACTTAGGTTTTCTTCTTACGACAGATAGATCACAGACATATTGTGTCTGATATTTGAATGCTTAGCACTAAAGTTATATCCCTAACCTCTACCTAGCTAACTAACTGCTGGACTCTGCTTCTGAATCTGAGGTCACACAAGCTCCTGTTATGATTTGGCAAGTGTAGATAAAGTAACACTAAGCTAATGTATCATTTCCTTCTGGGGGCTGATAGCTATCACACTCTCATAAATGATGTTAATTGCTTAGAGTAGAAGCCTGCGACAGGTGGTTAACACCAGCAGGAAGCAACAAACAATGGTGTAATAAACCTTCAGCACTATTAACAAGTTCAGAAAAGCTTAAATAAGATACTTGCTGAGAGTTTTGTCTGGGATTAGGAGCAGTGGGAGATCGGTCACTTTAGGAGAGAGAGGAACGCGAGTAGCCAATGTATACATATTGCTAACTCTGGTACACTGGCACATCTGACATCACCTGCACCAAATTTAGTCCTGCCCAACTCAAAGCAATCAGAAGAAAACGGCAGAAAAAAGTCATTAAAAAAAAAAAACTCATTCTTTCTCTGCCAGTTCATAGTAAGAACATCACTAAATCTATAGATAATAGTCAGAAGAAAATCATGAAAATTAGTAGACAGGGGCTTTAATTAAACCTAAATCACAGACCATTTGCTCTCCTACTGACCTCTTATCTGGTTCCACCAGGCTTTGACTGGAATTTGGAGTTTGAGGCGTCTGAATAGGCTCCTGTAGTGTTCCAGGCTCTGGAGGGTTCTGTGGGCTGGACTCCTCTGATGGTTGTGACTGCCGTACAGTAATACTTGTGGAGGGTTGAGGTTCTGGACTGATGACTGTGCTGGAGTGCGATGGTCGTTTTGATGGCAGATCCAGGACAGACTCATCGATGGTTCTCTTCATTAGCACCAAGGAGAAGCAAGAAATTTGAGCTCCATTAAATTGAGAGGTAGTTATACTTCGACATTCATGTAACTGAACAAAACATTCATGTCAATTAGGGGTGGGTGGTAAAAGAAAATTGATAGTGATTGGCAGCTTGGGTGAAAATGTAATGTCAATAGAGTTACAATAAATGTTTATAGAATAAATGTGTAATTTTAAACATTTTAATTTGAATATTAAAGCCATAGTTTAATGACAAATCTAATTTACACAAGTTTCCTCTTTATATATATATATATATATATATATATGTGTGTGTGTGTGCTTTTATTTACAACAAATCATTACACAAACAGATAAAGTAACTTGCCTGCACAGGTTATACAGCCCACATTACAAAATGTGCATGCAATTACACATTTCCACAGGAGAGGTCTCCAAATCTCCAAAACGTGCACAATGTAGCTTTAAACAAACTCCGTCATTCAAAAGCAAATAGGATTCTTTCAGAAACTAGGGGCGAAAATCAGTACATTAGCAAACAGTTCAATGATGAGTGGCAGTTGTCGTCTTCTACACAAGACAATTTATTTTCTGCCCAGTTAATGATGTGGAAACGTTGGCGTGTCGAGGTAACATTCAGAACAGAGAGATATATTTTCTAACTTCAGCTGTAACGGTTATCCTAGCTGCAGTCCTTCAGACTTCTCAGGTGTGTTTGTGACATGTGAAGGCACTCATGTTTCGAGGTTAAGCTAGTAAGGTAAACAATTATAGAATAGTAAGACACTTCACTGAGTGAAAAGGCACTGTGCTTCTTTATACGTCTCACATTTTATTTTATACACTTACTAAATGCTGACTCAAAAGTCAGGTAGCTAGGGATGAACAGAGACTTAACTTTTAACATTTACAGTTCTACATGTGAAAAGGAACAACCAGTGAACTGTCTCCTCCTCCTTTACAACGTTTCTGACATCATCTATTAAAGTGTAACAACCTTTAATGGGTGAGAGTTTCTTTAGCAGCCAAAAATAATAAGTCATGACAACATCATCGTTATTTTGCAATACTTAGGTATAGATATAGCAAAAATGTAATATCACAATAATTTTTTTTCACATTCTAACCAAACATTATGTCACAATATTTACATTTGTTTTTCTGGCATCTGATCAGTTGGAACAGACAATGCAGTGCGACGTTTAACAAATGATATCAAAAACTTCTCATGCTTAGTGCAAATGGACAAAAATTATATCACTAACATCGCAAAAAATAAGACTCACCAATGCTCTTCTACTCCTGGGGTCAATTTTCCTCTAAAAGAAAGAGATGAAAAGCAGACGCATCATTCAGATTAACTACTTACAGAGCATTTTATATCACCCATTTCATTTCCCATTTTAAATGCTGCACTAGTCAGTGTCTGACCTTTCTGTTCTGGAGATGGTCAGGAAAGGAGAAGATGGTAGGAACCGCCCAGGTGTGAAGTCTTCTTCTGGGGCCACTGATGAGACTGTAGCACCTTCTCTCAAAGTGACTGGAGCAGATTCTACTGTGTGGCTCTGGGGACCAGTCTTTCCATCTGATGTTCCTCAGCCACTTTTTAAGCAGCTCTGGGTTTTTCAGAGGGAAGCTGTAAATAACAACAATAATAATAATAATAATAATAATAATAATAATAATACCAACAACAATACGAATAATAATACAGTATTAGGACGTTACTTCTACATGTTCTACATGGCAAAGTAGGTTAAGCAAGCGAGGCTGAAGCTGGCTTACTATTCGCCAGCTTCTTCTTCGAATTTTCCTGCTCCACCTTTTCAACTCTTTGAGACCACCGGTGGTTCCATAACTTCTTCATAAGTTCTTCATAACTTTCATATTTCATAAGCTACATTCAAAAAGTGGGTGTCACATGAGAGCTGTAACTGTCTTCTTTCCAGTCAAATAGATGGGTAATGTAATTTTAAACACTTATAATAAAAGAAGCTGAACTGAATTTTTTTTTTGTCTACTGAAAGTCGACCCATTTTTCCACAAATCTGGGCTATAAACTATAAACAGATGGCGTCTCTTCAGTGATCTGCTCTGTAAAAACGATTTTTAAAGATTTTTTTAAAGAGTTTTGGCTTTCAGCAGTAAATTGTAAGCATACAGCAATATGTGTATGATCATAAAACACATGTTCTGTTAATTTGAGGAGAGCTTTTGCAAAAAATGAGAATAAAATAAAAATTTATTTCATGCAGTTACTGAATAATTTGCCTTACGATTTGGTCATGTAAATTCAGATGGACAAACCAAAACATACCCTGATGAAACAGTGCAGCAGTTACTGCACCATTTAAGGTAGAACGGGGAAATTCGAAGCTGATGAATAAAGAAGCTAAGTTAGTCTATAACCTCAGCTAAAGTATGAAGCAGCCCTCACATGTCTTCCCTAAGAGCTACACTATTTTATACTCGTCTTATGAAGGTGCTTTATGATCCATACCTGTGAAAAGCGAGGCTCTTGTCCTTCGTGTTGTTTTTACAGTTATACGCGCAGCAGTAAAACACCATCCTGCCTCTCCGCTCAGGGTAAAGCGCTACAGCAGCAGCTTTAGCAGCTTTATTCTCCACATTCAGGGCAGCAGCACCGTATTTAAACGTTTAATCCGAACTTTTCACCGCACACACGTCTGCAGAAAACAACCTCAGTATCTCCACAACCGTGAGACGTTTCTAAAATCGCTATCTTTTATGCTGGGAGTAGTAAACTCCTGCTGAAGTCAACACAGTCGCGTGTTAATGACGTCAGACCCGGCTGCGTCCAAAACTAGGTTGTTTACATAGAGTCAAATCAGGTTCAAGTTAGTCTGGAACAGATTGTTGGTTGATTTGTGGAAGTTTTGATAAAGAAATTACAATTTGGATGTTGTATCTACTCCACTTACAGACAGTAGAGCTACATCGGTCAACATTAAGATGCCCTCTGCCGGTGGTGGACAGTGACGAAGTAAATGTAGTTCGTTACTGTACTTAAGTAGTTTTACTGTATCTGTACTTTACTGAAGTGTTTCCATTTTTGGTGACTTTCTACTTTCACTCCACTACATTTCAAAGTCAAATATCTTCCTTTTTACTCCACTACATTATGAGAAATCTGTCGTTCCTTTTGTTTTCTGTGTGCATAAAAATGTAACCTGTTGAAATGAAAGAAGCGCGAAGCCAATCAGGGTGTCGTGTTTCTTTTTTCTGAATTTATACAAACATTTCATTTTACAGTAAATTCATTTTGGCTGCTTTATGTTTATGAACAGTGGCCTACAGGTGCAGTTTAGTAAAGGAAAACTCATTTGTGAACCTGTGTTTAAAGCAGGTTTTTATTAAACTTTAACTCTGCAAATAAATATTAAACTGAAACTTTGCTTGTTCACAAAAGGTTATTTCAGATCCACTCTGTTCTAATGGAAGTTGTTTGCCTTCAGTGTTTTGTGCTTAAGATAATTTTAATAGACAAAAGTGACTAATTAATGACGTTCTATTAAAATATTGGTGTTACAAGAGTGACATCAGAGTATTCTCAGCTAAAATTAAACAAGAGGTTTGTTACAAAAATGATAATAGGACATTAGAGCCATAATTAATCTTTTAGTACTTTTACTTTTGGTACTTAGGTACATTTGAAGGCAAATACTTCTGTATTTTTACTCAAGTGGAGGTCTAAAGGGAGGAACTTCTACTTTTACTGGAGTAATATTTTACCTTGGGTGTCTCTACTTTAACTCAAGTACATGGTTTGTGTACTTCGTCCACCACTGCCCTCTGCTAATTCTCATGGTACACGCTCATTACACTGGAAGCTCATTAGCTAGCCTTTAAATAGCTCTGTGCTATTTTACCAGGAGGATAAAACGATGATTAAGCTCTTATTCTCCACGGTATATTATGGTTTGACCATCTGAATTTACATGACCAAATCATAAGGCAAATTATTCAGTAACTGCATGAAATAAATGTACATTTTTGTTTTATTTATTTTTTGTAAAAGCTCCCCTCAAATGAACAGAAACTGTGTTATAATCATACACGTATTGCTATATGCTTACAATTTACTGCTGAAAGCCAAAAATCTTAGACGCTCTTTGTATTATTTTATAAAAATAATTTTTACAGAGCAGATCACTGAAGAGACGCCATCTGTTTATAGTTTACAGCCCAGATTTGTGGAAAAATGGGTCGACTTTCAGTCGGAAAAAGATTCAGTTCAGCTTCTTTTATTATAAGTGTTTAAAATTACATTACCCATCTATTTGACTGGAAAGAAGACAGTTACATCTTTTGAACGTAGCTTATGATTTATGAAAGTTATGAAGAATATGACAGTGCGTTTTGGAACCACCGCTGGTCTCAAGGAGTTGAAGAGGTTAAAGTGATGACCTCATGTTTATTTCACAAAACTAGAACAGAGAAAAAATTGTAATAGACTGGGAACTTAATTTGAGGTGGGGAAATACTTCAGAATTTTTATATCACCCATATAGTCACCCCAGAGTCAAAAGAGCTGAAGAGAACAAGGTAATAACAAGAACTTGTCTATCCCAGAAGAATTCAGACAGTTTAACTGAGGAAGAAAATTTTACAAATTAAGCTTGATGATCTTTACAAAAGAAAAGCAGAAGGTGCATTTATTTATAATAGATGGTTAGAAGAAAAACAAAACACTAATTTATTTAGAAAACTATCATTTTCATAATAACTTTATTAGCAAATTAAATATTAATGTTATCATCACAGATGACCCACAATTAATTTCTGACCACTGCAGTGAGTTTTACAAGAATTTATACAGCTGTTAATTCCCAAAATGTTAAACCTATAAATAAAAATGAAATCGATTTTTGTGATAAACCTGTTAATACTGAAGAAGTTATGGATGCAGTTAATAACCTTAAAAACAATACCTCACCAAGTATAGACGTCCAACTTTAGTATGTTATAAGAAATAGACAAATAAGATATAAAATTTCTTGTATCTAGTTGCACAAGAACACTGAGTCGATTTTACTTCTATGCCAATAGGGATGAGCTCTGACAACTAATGTTCCTAATTTAAAATCTGTAAGAGGCTTATTCTCCCCAGTCCTGATTTCACTATTGGCACCATGAGAGATATTCTAGAGTGTGAACGAAGGTCAAGTGAACCGTCCACTCTGGCTAACAATGAGTAATTTGGCGTTTCTTTACAAAATACCAGTAAGAATTTTGTAAAGAAATATATCAGTCTAGTCATCCAGTCCTAGTCAGAAGGCACATCACTGTATTCTACTTAACAGACTTTTTGCCCAGCTTACTTAAACTGTGGGTCAGTGTTAATAGATGTGTCCTTAATTTCACACTAGTGTTAACCGTGGTCTCTTGACCTGCTGCTGTTTAACAGGTGTGTATGTGAGAAAACTAACAGACTCTCTCTCCTGTGTGTCTCCGCAGTGTGTAACTTCATGTCTAATGAGAAGTGTTTGAAGCATGTGTGGACTATGTGTTCCTCACACAGCTCACATGGCAACTCAGATTGCAGCTCAGGTAACACCACAGTTACATTCATTTAGTCACACCCCTAAAAGCCTTTATTTTAGCAAGGAAGAAGCACCTGCTTGTATCCCAAATAAAGAAGTATGGAGATGTAGCAAGTGTGTCGGGGTCAACAGGCTTTTCTGGGTGCAGATTAAGCCCAACACTGCTTAAAAACAGCATAGCTGATCACCAGCAAAACCAGCATGTGTTGTGTTCTGGATGCTGGTATGCTGGACAACAAGAATGACAATGTTGGCTGACCAGCTAAACCAGCACCGGACCAGCACTGGATTTCAATCCTTAACTATGAATCATTTTTAATGGAGGGTTAATAAAGCCATCGTTGGCCGAGTTTGGTGTGGAGGAATTCCAGTGGTCTGCATAAAGGCCTGACCTGAGCCCCACTGAACCCCTTTGGGGTGAATTGAAACACTGATTATGAGCCAGGCCTTTGCATCCAGCTTCAAATTCTCATTTGACCGAATAGGCACAAACATTTGTGGAACATAATTTTGTGGAAAACCTTCCCAAAGGAATGGAGGCTGTTATAGCCAAAAAGGGGGTCAAACATCATATTAATGCCCATGGTTTTGGGAGGGGATGTCCAACGAGCTCATATAGGTGTAATGGTCAGGTGTCCATATACTTTTGGCCACATAGTGAATGTTTTCAGTGACCGTCCTTATTTAGAAAACTTTATTCTGTTTAAAATATATACTGATGACTGTTTGGTCATTAACAGAGGTTCACCAAAAGAATTTTCACACTGTATATGAACTGTGATATGGTCAGAAAAGCACATTATTTTTGCAGTATTTCTCCTCAAAGGCATGTGTGGTTTAGAGCAGGCAGTAAGCCTTGGTCAGCAGAAAGCTGTCACAGAGTCATCAGTGATACATGCTTTGTGTTAGCCGCAGTGAAGAGGGTGTCACTAACAAGCCAGTTGCACCAGACAAGCTCGACTTCCTCCATCATCTGAGGAGAGCAGTAAGGAGAGCACTACAAATTAGCTTATTAGTGGAAATTATGATTTGTTCTTATCTGTTTTACTTTTAGAGCATTTGAACAAGCTTTTATGCAAAGGTTGGCTTTACACAGTTAAACTTTGTGAGTTGCCTGCAACATAATTTCTTTGCAACTTAACAGTTAAATGGAAAAACAGAAAGCCAAAGTAGCAGCTTATTTGTTCACTCAAAAAAAGAAAAAAAAAGAACCAGCAGGTTAGCTGGACTTATATATAAAAATATCAATATTAAATAAATGAATTGTGTTGTTTTTAAGTAACTGGTTTATGTAAAAATGGGAAGAAAATAATGAAAATGCACTTCAGTAAATGAAAACTGTTTCATGTTGAGAAATGTTGAGCCAAAGAAAGTTCCATTGCAATGTAACCAAAAAATTAATTGCTCAGAAATTTTTCAAATTTGTCCCACAATCATATTTTATGTTGAGGACTCATTTGAAACCCATCAGCAACAGTTGCAAGCCTCATCATGAAACGTCATGAAACAGGCAAGTTTCATGAAACAGCTAATCAAATGCTAGTAGCCCATCATGTGATCACATCGAACAGCTGCTTTCAAATGATTGTTTTCACCAGATCCGTAGACAGGAAAAAATAGCAACTGGCCAAAAAACAATCCTCTGCTTTATATTCCTGTCCACTGATCAGGTGAAAGTTGAGATGCTTGCAACTATTGCGGATGCCTTTCAGGAGTTGCAGGATGCATTGCAGGGCACTGACATTATACTTAAGTGCAGTCTAATTTCATTCAGGTTTCAAGCAATTAAAGCTGCATGAAAGTTTCACTGTGTTTACATGGTGAGCCTTTTATGCAGCTAGTTGCATGTTGTGAGTTGCCTACAACCTAATTTCTGTGCAACTTGACACTTACACAAAGCAATTCAAAAACATTTAAAGTTGCATGCAACACATTCAGTTACTCAATCTGAAATAAAAAATAATTTCAAAAGTAATTATCTAGTCAGTTACTCTTTCGCCAGCTTCTTGTTGAAGTTTTCCCGTTCCACCTTAAATGGTGCAGCTGTTACATTCTGGCTCCTCAGGCACCATTTAAGGTGGAACAGGAACATTCGAATAAGAAGCTGGCGAATGAGGAGCTGACTTCGGCCAAAGTCGAACGTTGAGAGACATTTTACAAGAAACTGTTCTGCTTTTGCGGAAAAGTTTCCTGCCAGAGATGTGAGAAAAACTGCTATAGCTGACCTGAAGCTTAAAGCAGAGCAAAGTAAGTCTGCAGTTTCGTTTATATTATATTTTTAGCCTGTACTAGTACATCAGCACATACTGAGACATATTTACAGCCAAGATGAAACGTTGTGGCTGCCAAGGTGGTTTGATTTTTGATGAAAGGACAAAATGGCTCTCCTTAACATTTGGGGTGCCGACCCCTGTATTAGAATAATAGAACAGAATAAACCAATAGCAAAATTCTTGCTTTTTTAGCAGACAGACACTCTAGACTAATAACCTCTGAAAGGGTGTTTGAGTTGACAACCGTAAGCAAAAATGTACATATTTTAGGAGGTCCTAAGTACATTTTTGAAAAAAATGAAGATATCAAAATTCTGTTAGCATTTACATGCCAAATAATGCCATATCTGAGTAGCCCAGGGTGTCCTGAAAATGACATACGGCACGTGACTATCTTGTGTAAGTAATTTATAATTGTGATTGTAAGTGACCAAAATACCAAAACAATTACACTATTACACTATTATGATTACACACTTGATTTGAATTTGACTCGATTTCCTCTTTTTTTTTAAGCCAAACGAAGTTGTAACACAAAAACAGTCCTACACACACTAAACACTGTTTCATTCATCACTAATAACTGAAAACAGAAATAAACAGAAACAGAAAAAAACAGAAAAAAAAATCTTAATTTAATTTATTTATTCAAAGGCTATTTGTTTATCAAATGTTTGCATCTGTAGTGGTCTGTCTCCAAAACTCCTGGCAGTAGGAGGCCACTGGGCACTGGCCCAACACTGTCTTGGTCAGTAATCCCTCCCTGGCCGGTAAATTGTTTGCATGGTTTGTGTTGGGCTTTTTTTGTACTCTGTTTGATGGAATTAAAAATGGTTTGTGTTTATGATTGTTCAATGTTCTAGACGCACTGAGAGTACCCATGATGCAGTCAGAAAAGCAAATCATGACATTAATTAATCACAATAATGATAACATATCATCATGTTTACCAGCCCTATGGATCTTTAAGGCCTTTTTTTTGCAGTATTTCTCCTCAAAGGCATGGGTGGTTTAAAACGTGCAGTAAGCCTTGGTCAGTAGAAAGCTGTCACAGAGTCATCAGTGATACATGCTTTGTGTTAGCCACGGTGATAAAGGTGTCATTGACAAGCCAGTTACACCAGACAAGCTTGACTTCCTCCACCATCTGAAGAGAGCAGTAAGGAGAGATCTACAAATGAGCTCATTAGTGGAAATTATGATTTGTTAATCTTAATTGTTCATTTGCACGAACATTTACTTTTGCAGCATTTAGGAGACGTTTACTGCTGAATGACTTACTGAAGTGCTGTACCATCTACATATCCCAGTCCAAACAGGCTAGAGTCCAGTGATGTCCTTAAGCTTTGTCTGGCTTTGCACAGTGAAACTTTGTGAGTTGCCTGCAACATTGAGTTGGGAGAATTTTTTGCTGCAACTTGACAGTTACATGAAAAAACAGAAAGCCAAAGTAGCAGCTTATTTGTTTACTCAAAAAAAAAACTTTGATAAAAATGTCAACATTAAACAAATGAATTGTGCTGTCTACACATCACACCTACAGGAGCTTTCATGAATCAAATTCTAAATCCATAGGCATTAATATGGAGTTGGTCCCACTTTGCAGCTATAACAGCTTCCTCTCTTCTGGGAAGCTTTCTACAAGATTTTGGAGAGTGTCTGTGGGAAACTTAGCCCTTTCATCCAGAAGAGCATTGGTGAGGTCAGACACTGATACTGGACGAGAGGGTCTGGCTCATAATCTCCATTCTAGTTCACCCTAAAGGTGTTGGATGGGGTTGAGGTCAGGGCTCTGTGCAGGCCAGTCAAGTTCTTCCACACCAAACTCACCCAGCCATGTCTTTATGGACCTTGCTTTGTGCACTGGGTCTCAGTCATGCTGGAACAGAAAATGCACTTTTATGCACTATGAATCTCAGCACTCAGAGACCCGCTCTGTAAATTTACGTGGTCTGACACTTCATGGAGTTGCTGTGGTTCCTAAACGCTTCCACTTTTCAATACCACCCACAGTTGATGGTGGAACATCTAGAAGGGAAGAAATTTCTTGAACAAACTTGTTGCAACAGTGGCATCCTATTACAGTACCCCGCTCTTTAGAACGACCCATTCTTTCACAAATGTTTGTAGTCAGACTGCATGGCTAGCTGCTTGACTTTATACACCTGTGGCAATGAGACTGAATGAAACACCAGAATTCAATGATTAAGAGGTGTGTCCCAATACTTCTGTCCATATAGTGTATGTTTGACCAGTTCTATTAGCAAACAAGATGAACTATCATTTAAGAAGTTGACTGTCTTCTAACATTGCAGAAGTTTGTTTGACACGTGAATAAGCAGTTTCAGCGCTTTTGATTGGACAACAAGCGTTTCGGCATGAGTGTTCAGTAAACCTGCCCTCTTTCATGTAATAATGCTGCAAGATAAGCACAATTCACAGCATAAAAGGATGCAGTTTTAGGAAGTAACATCAACTCAGCACAGCTTGAATGAAATAAAGGATATGCTGAAGGGTATGAAGGGAATAATTTTTATGTACTTTTTAAAAAAAACTTCATTTTTTAATTTGATGTGCTTTTTATGCCATTCTCTAATTACAGTGAAGTAAGGCTTATTTTACAACCAGTGCTGTATTACATTACTGCTTTTTGTTTCAGACCACTGTAACATTGAAGACTGAAGAAACCCACCGACTCTGCATTACCGTATGTGCATTTTACTTTTGGCTTTGAATGTTTGGCACCATTTTAGACTATAATAAGTGGAGTACAGAGCTTGCTGTATAAAGCAAAACCCCCAAAAAAGCATTCCTTACATGAGCTTAACTGAATTATGGAAAGCATTTCCACACAATTGCATGGCTTTCTTTCAAAATAAGGCAATTTTGTTTATCCAGCATAATTTTCTTAAATTGGCTAAACTTAATCTGCTGTCACATTTCAAACTCAACTAATTAAAGGTCATCAAACTTGTTTTATTTGATTTACCGGTGATTAATGTTGATCCAATTTGTCTTATTAGAGTTTTAAAGTGGTCACTGAAGTGTCCAGTCAGTTAGGAGACACACTAAGCAGTGGAGAATGTAGTAACAGCAATAATAATGAATAAATATATAATATAATATATATATATATATATATATATATATATATATATATATATATATATATATTTTGCGCATAACAGACTTAACTTATGCGCATATCCATCAGAGGCAAATAGCACAATTCATTCTTGTTTATTTGACATCATTGTTTTTTTTAAAGATTAACATTTCTGATCATTATTTTCTTTTAATAATAATACTTTAAGTGCATGTTAAAAAATGGGTTAATTCAGTTAATATCAACTTGATTTGTTTTCTTAACACATGCAAGCCACTTTCAGTTATTTACAAGAAACACTAAAACAAACAAACAAACAAAAAACACTGTTCCTCAAGGCAAACCTTCGGAAGGCCTGAAGGGCCATGGATTTGCAGGTTGTTTTACTCCGATTTTCATTTGTATTCTCAAGTTCTTGTTATATTTATGTCATTATCATGGCAAAACGAATGCTGTTTCCCTGAGATCTCGAGTTATTTATATCATCTCAACATGACAGGCATTGTTTTCTGGAGATAACATTCGCTATGTCATGATAATTGCATAAATATCTCAACATCTTGAGAAAACAACATTTGTTGTGTTGTGATAATGACATAAATAACATGAGATCTTGACAAAAAATAAAAGAAAGTAAGATACAAAGTACAAATCCATGGCCCTTCCATATAAACCTATATATTTTGAAGATATTTGAGACTGAAAACAGAGACTAGTGGAATAAATGCAAGCCTTGCAAAGACAAACAGAAAAGCAGGGACTGCTTATACAGACCAATGAGGCACAGGTGAACCTAATGATAATACTAACACTAATAATACTAACCATTCTCCTCAGATTATTAATAATGATAATATGAGTAAATATAGTAACCCTGAATTATGTGTGAATGTATTGACTGTTACTGTCATTAGTTTAGAATTGTTAGAAACTATGAAGGTATTCATGCTTATATTTATGAACAAATTCAATTGTTTAACAGTCACATTTATTTATAAGATCATGTTCCAAGAATTTAAGCATTTCACTTCAGCGAGCTGGAGGCAGGAGGATGGTACATGAAGCATTGCTTTAGCTGAGCTTCTTTTTCTAGTCATGTTCAATGGTTAAATTCACAGGTGAAAGGTAGAGTAGTAGAGTAATTATGAGCAAAGAGGACAGGAAATATAAGAGCCTCAAATCCAGAAACCAGCAGTGAAGCTCAGTAGGGCTCAGGCTGAGGTCATAATGAGTGAGAACTGGATGGCAGAGCAGAAGGTGCTGAGGCGATGCGTCCAGCTGTAAAACACATCATAATTTTAATATCAGTGGTTGTTTGGCCCAGCGCTATGAGGGGGCATGAGGGGGCGAGGCCTAGATGGAATACTATGCCCGCAGTTTTGTGTTTACACTATTTGTCCTGCAGCTTGGACTTTACACCGATCAGGCATAACATTATGACCACCTCCTTGTTTCTCACTGTCCATTTTATCAGCTCCACTTACTATATAGGTGCACTTTGTAGTTCTACAGTTACAGACTGTAGTCCATCTGTTTCTCTGCATACTTTGTTAGCCCCCTTTTACTCTGTTCTTCGGTGGTCAGGACCCCCATGGACCCTCACAGAGCAGGTACTATTTGGGTGGTGGATCATTCTCAGCACTGCAGTAACACTGACGTAGTGGTGTGTGTTGTGCTGGTACAAGTGGATCGAACACAGCAGTGTTGCTGGGTAAAGCTCAGTTTACTGTTTCATTTGGTTTCCATGTGTGGTTGATGTTGGTTTGCTGCTGTCGATTAAGGTTAATATTTTTTTTTTCATATTTGGTTATATTGGATTGTGTTGTGTTATAATGGCAATGCTGAAGAAAAGCAACAGTTGTGCGTTGACAGTTATTATAAACCAACAAGCCTATTGTCCGCGGTTCATTAGGTAAGGGGAGTCGTGCCCCCTTAGTCTTTTATTTCCGCCTACTTTCCTAACTAAACTGGCCTGTGTCGTGTGGATACTGTCACCGGCTGGTCTGCTGCAGATGCTGTACAGCACATGTGTCAGGCTCCAGTCCTTGCAGGCCAAAATACTGCAGACTTTAGCACACTGCTTCATTAAACACACCTGATTCAGCTCTTCAACTAATTAGCAAGGCCTTCATGAACTGAATTCAGAGTGTTAGACGAAGGTAAATGCAAATCTTTGCAGCACTTTGGCCCGGAAGGTCCCCAGTTTGACATGCCTGGTGTAGAGTTAACACCCAAGATTTTTTGGGACTTAAAAAAAGAGTGTAAACTCTTGTCTCTGCTTCTAGATCCACCCAATATTTATGGACAGAACTTCTGGTGAAGCTTAAACAGACAATGGGCCAGATTCAATCAGCGCCAGATTTAGCGAGACATAATGTTTGTGGATTCATAAGCGAGCATTAGCTGCATGTTTTATCCCGTGAGCCGTTGCTGCACATTCATCTCATTTACATATGGCGGAACGATTCAGAACAGGACACAATCACCCAAAAAGTGACACCTGAACCACTCTGAAGGTAGTTTTCCGAGGCACACCTTCTAACTGCTGTCGTAGGACTGGCTTGAGCTGTCAGAACTGTGCAGGTATATTTTTTCCATCATAGTACAAACAATGTAAATGCACCTCAACAATGGTCTTAAGGTCCAACTGTGCGCCTTAAATAAGTTTTCCCAGGAAAAGACTTACTGTGTATTGATTGGCTGTTGCCTAGGACATCAGTGTAAATACAGCAGCTTTAAAAGCCTCCAGTGCGCTAATCACTGCCACACTGACTTCATGAATAGCTCTTATTTACTGTGCAGCACATTTTGTGTAGCATTGCGCTGATTTTGTCCCGCTCCCCGCCTGCACAGTTCTGTCAAGACGAACTGACATCCAATATCTGACTGAATTTCCCTTTTTCAAAATAAAAGTTCAGTTCTTCAGGCAAAAAATATTAAACCTCAACTATATATTAAATTCTTGAATCATAAATTGAAAATAATAAGCCAACATTTGTAGTAAATACATTCCACCTGAAATTCACACCCACGTTATTGAAAATAATAATTCCGATTCAGGTTTAAAGTCAAAGACCTCCTTATACTTTACCTGGAATAGTCTGAGGCATCTGGTTACACTTTGGTTGTGTTGACCTTTTTTGTTTGTAATAAAATAATATATGATTATAGACACCAGTGGTTTAAAGTAAAAATGTTGTGTGTGTGTGTGTGTGTGTGTGTGTGTGTGTGTGTGTGTGTGTGTGTGAGAGTGAATTTGTGTATTTTGTCCATTCTAAACCATATGCTGAGAGTAGTTAGTTTAAAACTAGCGACACACAGAATTTCGGTTGCATCGCAGACACTAACAGAAAACATTACATGCATAATCTCAACACACAGTGAAATCATCTGACTTTCTCTCTTTCCGTGCTACATTTATGAGATATGTCTGGTCATATTAGTAGTATTTCGAACGAGACTGTGTTTTACAACATCGAATCAATCAATATTATTGGCTGCTATTTGCCATTGTTTTACCCATTCAACCTATTCTGTGTCACTATCTGGCATTAATCATTGTCGTGGCTGTTACTGATTGGTCCAGAAGAGGGCTGTCTTTTCTGGACCAGGTTCTTGCTTCAACCTTTTTTCCTGGCTTCAACTAAACAGCGACTCTGGATTGAGCTGTCTGAGAAGTAGACATTCCACTGCTCAGAGTAGAATGTGCTGGATGCAGAAGCTGATTTCTTTGGTGAGTTTCTCCGCAGGGTGGATGAATAAAGTACTGAAAAAAGAAGATTAAACAGTAAGACAGGTCTGCAAAATAAGGAGGTCTTGACATATAGCATGTATATTATGAAATAGACTCCTAAACTGACCAATGCAACAATGCCTGTGCTTGTAGCTAGAGCCAATGAGAGTTAGCCAAGTAGTTAACATCATCTACAGTAGCTGAAAACGCATAGTGAGCACAGTATGTGTGAAGCTGTGATGATAGCTAGGCAGATTAGAAATAAACCCATATTTTAAATAACCTTAATCTTAAATAACCAGCACAGTAACAACAAATAGCCATAAAAGTGAATGTATATATGTATGGAACCTGGTCATGGATGCCTCTTTATAGTAAACTTAATTGAAAATACTGAGCAAGTGGCAGCTGCAACAGTATATTACTGTGTGCAAAAAAACTTCTTTATTTTCAGTATAAGTTGATGTAAAAAAAAAAAATAAAATAATAATAATAATAATTTTAAGTAATTTAGTAATTTTGGACCATGTCTGTTGGTCCAGTCATCATGTAATATTCATAGAATGGAAAGGACAGCTGATATTTTTTAATTATTTTAAATAAATGAATAAATAAATAAATAAATGACAAAAATTGATATACAGTGATTTTATCCATACACAAACATATATATAACTATATATATATATATATATATATATATATATATATATATATATATATCGCTGCTGTCAGAACTAAACCTTGTGTCTTTTTTTGGTCGTTTTTCCAGTTTTTAATGTGATTCAGTAATGCCTGTTGGTCTTTACATTGTGTGTAGATTTCATGATGAATGGACCAAAAGAAATCACCCAAAATGACTTGGAAAGACGTCTGGTTCCATTGACTTACATTAAGTGTAAAGTATGTTTTATTTTATCCTTCTCCTGTAAAGTTGGAGATACGAGGTTTTGTTCCAACAGCAGTTGGAACATATATATACTCTTTAAGTGTATATATATATATATATATATATATATAGTTATCAGAATTTTGTGTGATTTGTTCAGACTCTTTTTACATAATATTCATGGTGAAAGAAAGTTGTTGTTTAAATATAATGTACATATTTTACACATAATGTAAATAAATGGTTATCAGGGACACTTTAATAACTGGGAACACGCAGTTTAATCCAACTCCCACATACAAATCATTGTTTTCTCAACCTAAACAATTGTTTTTATGTTATTTCACTGCAGTTTTTTATCTTACAGGTTTCCCTCTCAGAGCAGAACACAATCTGAAATCATCAGAGTAACACACAAACACCGAAAATGGGCAATGACTCCTCCTCATACGGTGATGCGTTGAGACATGCACAAGAGCAGGCGCGTGAGCAGGAGAGGGCACGTCAGCAGGAGCTGCAGCATCAGTGGGAGTTGCAGCGTCAGCAGGAGTGGGAACGTCAGCGGGAGTGGGAGCGTCAGCAGGAGCGGGACCGTCAGCAGGAGCGGGAGCGTCAGTGGGAGAGAGAGCGCCAGAATTTAGAACAAGAGCAGTGGAGACTGCAGCAAGAGAAAGAGATGATAGAAAGATTGCAAAGCGAGCGAGAGGAGGAGCAGAGGAAAGTGATAGAGCAGCAGCGAGCAACAGAAGAGAAGGAAAGGATGAGAATCCAGAATAAGTAGACCTTTCAAGCACTCAAGTACTTAAGACAGGGCTCGGCAACCCAAATGTTAAGAAGAGCCATTTTGTCCTTTCAATAGAAATCCCTTTTACCATCGTGGCTGTAAATATGTCTCAGTATGTGCTGATGTGCTAGTAAAGGCTAAAAAATATAATATAAACGAAAACGCAGACTTACTTTGCTCTGCTTTAGCTCAGCCATAGCCACTTTTCTCGCATCTCTGGCAGGAAACTTCTCCAAAAGTAGAACAGTTAACGTTAACGTTTGACTTTTTACGAGGCTGAAGAAGCTTCTCATTTGCTCATTTGTTCTAATTTTTCGTTGCACCTTAAATGGTGTCTGAGGTACCAGAATGTAACTGCTGCACCATTTAAGGTGGAACGGGAAAATTCAGACAGGCAGTTGACTTTTTATTGTTTGACAGTTTCTCAATGCAGATTAAACGTATCAGGAAACCAGCTGGAGTGATTATAAATGCTGATAAAAGTCCATTAGTCACCAAATTATCAATGTTCATCTTAAATCTCTCTCTTTGCCATTTTTTTAGCTACTAGCTGGGTGAGACTGTTGTCTGAGCTGCTGTGGTGACCAACAGTCTGCACGCCTACCCTCAGGGTTAAAGGGTTAATCAGCAGTTATACATTAACTCCAGTGTTTAAGGCCATTTGATGTTAAAACTGTGTTGAACGATCAGCAGAGCTTTATTTTACTGCAGAGGAGGATTATTTTATTTTTACCTAAACATCTAATTCTGCTCTGGACAGGGCTCCTCCGCAACAGGGCAGTAAAAGAGCCACATGCGTCTCCGGAGCTGTATGTTGCCGACCCCTGACTTAAAAGAAATTCCATTGATTTTTTTTTATATTATATATAATATACAATGGCTAAGATGTACTACACAGTCGTTCAGAGTGGTTTGGTGTGAAACATTCTATTCTACACAAACTTGATGAGTCAGAATTGTTTATAGTGGTGGTGATAGGAACCAGACGTCTATGGAGTTTAATACTACTAAAAGGTTCCTGATAAAAGATGCAAGATTTCAAAAATTCATTCATGGCAGAGAAGTTTATGCAAGATTTTGTAAAAAAAACCCAATTTTTTCAGATTTTTTGCTATTTTCCCATCAACATTACACATACAGTCTCAGAAGACACGTGTAGGTTCACTGGTAGTTTTGGATACTAAATAATATGGTTATATATGGTTATAATAATTTGTGTTGTAGGCATCGTCACCCTTGTTCCTCTCGGTTTCTCAACAATCAACCATTTCACCTCAAACCACTCTGAACCTCAACTATTGAATGATTCAGACTTAATCTGGAAAATCCCCCTTTAAATAACTGCTCTGTGTTGTAAAGTTGTGCAGTTTTTCAGCACTGCTGTCCACCTATTCAACAAAAACGCAATAAACATTTACTTTTACATTCATAAAAGTTCAAGTGTGATTTATTGTGGCAAATGTCCAGCATCAAGGTACAATAGTGTACTTGCTACATGAAGCATGCAGACATGCACGCTTAAACATGATGGTTCTTCAAGGGTTCTTTAGTAAAGAAAATGGTCCGTTTTCATGATTAAATGGTTCTTGGCATCATGAAAGCGCTCTTCGGATTGATGGTGAATGTGCTGTAGATGGTTCTACATAGCACCAAAAAGGGTTCTACTATTGTAACAAGCCTGACATCGTAACAATAGAAGAACCATTTCTGGTGCTACATAGAACCCTTTTCAAAAAGGTTCTTTATAGGCCCATCTACAGCATTCTCCATCTATCTGAAGAACCTTTTCACGATGCAAAGAACCCTTTAATTATGGAAAGGGACCATTTTCTTTACTAAAGAACCCTTGAAGAACTATCATTTTTAAGTATGTATTTGAGAGGTTTAGCTGCTGTTGGACCAAACATTAGAAAGGGGAAGCAGCTTTCACCATGATGTGATTATTGGCAGGGTGGTTCTAGACCGTTTCAGGAAGGCTTCATCCCAAATCCACCCTTTCTCAAATATACTAAGTCCCTTAAAGTTTGCGATTTCTTGCGGTTTCGTTTTTCGCTTTTACTGCATCAACAGTAAACAACCGGAAAACTGTCGGTCATTTTCTCCCCTTAATTTCGCGACTTCATGTCCATCACTTGTTGTGTGAATGTGCGGATTCCTCTGATGCCATTATCTTTACTGCAGGCCTACCAGCCACACAAACACACACCAGCTACACAAAATGTATTTTCTCTTAGTGTTTCTCCTCCATGCAATCAAAAATAAACACTCTATTTGGGAGAATTGTTTGTTTTGTAGCTGATAGTTGCTTTACTCAGCACCCGTTTTAGTAGCCAACATACTTGGTTTTAATTTGATGGGGCCACATTGACTAATTATACCAGAAATACTAATCTGGTATTGGCTGTCAGTGATGCCCCTCTGCAGTGTGTAGTAAAAAAAAAAAACATTTGAACCCATGACATTTATATTCACTGCCATAAGACCACAGCAAAGGCAAAAGAGAGTCTGGTGCTGACTCGTGAGCCTAGCGAGAACCTACATGGTCTTTTGTGTATGAATATTTAATGTATATACACAAAATCTTCATGCAGCACCTGCCCTTGTCACAAAAGAGGCAACTGGAAACACTGGAAAAAAACAGAGGTGCCAAAATCCCAGCCAATAAATAAGTAAATAAATGAGTAAATAAATAATCAAGACTATGTAAGTGGTATGGTGAGGATCCAGGTTTTAAAACTGTCGATTAAACCAGAGTGATGCCTGGATATATGTTGTAGTTGTAGGCAGTAGCAGATGCTGCTAGAGGTAAAATTTCACCTAGTGCACCAAATAGGATTTTGTCTTAACCTTATAACCTTATCGCCTGTGTTCAGAGTAGCTCTGGAGTTTGAAAAGTGAGTGAATGTGCCCCTGAATGAAACCAAGGATGATGAGGGGGGGCGTGTTGGGTTAGTGAAAGGTCACTACAGATCTTTCCTAATTAACTCACTTGAAGTATGTTAAGCATTTCTACAGTAGCAGCAGTAGCAAGAGGAACTTTAGCAAAGCGGGGCCAACAGCTGATCAGAGGATACAAATAGCAGTTCCACAAAAATATACTGATAAGGCTGTTTCTGTATTACGGATCTGTAAAATGCTTGTTTAAGTGCTAAGTAACTCAGCAAAGCTCTGTACAATCATACCTGAGACATTCCATCTCTGTTAACCTGCTAGCCAGGTTCAGCTGTGGGTATGCAGTTTCAATTTGAATCAATGCAGAAGGATGAAAATTGTTTTTATTAATTTAATGACATCTTTTTTCAGTTGTGTTTCAATAATGTAATACTGACTAATCTGATGTTTCAGGTCTTTGTAGCTAATCTGCTATTTGACCTGAAAGATGTCCGACTCAGAGACCATTGAATTAGCTGCTCTTAGCCGACCTTTCCAGTTGGGAATGCTGTATGACTGCCGCAGAGATGCCCTCATTCCAGGTACAGAAAACCATTCATTCTCCATTAAAATCCCTGTTTAAATAAGAGTACTGTTACTGTGGTGATACTTATGTACAAGTAAAAACATTAATAAAGTATAAGAGTAAATATTTTCAACAAAACTAAAGCCAAATATGATATTACATGAGACTGATCACAGTATGCCCTGCTAGTACATATTCACACATCATCACATTTACTGTATAAGCTTTACAGTTTGCATTGAACTAAACTACTATGACAACTGAACACCATTCCTATGGGAACTTGTTGGACATTCCAAAACCATGAGCATTAATATAGAGTTTCTCCCCCTTTGCAGCTATAACAGCTTCACTTTGTGCACAATGGCACAATCGTGCTGGAACAGGAAAGGGCCTTCCCTAAACTGTTGCAACAAAGTTGCCATGATTGTCTAAAATGTCATTGTATGCTGTAGCATTAATATCACCTTTCGCTGGAACTGAGGGGTCCAAACCCTGAAAAAAGCCCCAGCCCATTATCCCTCCTCCACCCAACTGTACTTTTGGCACCACTTTTACTTTCAACAGCGTCAGGCTGTAAATCTCATTTGTCAGTCCACCTCTCCTCTGAGACCTGTCACATTGTTTTTGAAAGTCACATGATTAAAAAGGAAATTCAACATGGCGGACTGCACAGTGTACGAAACTATACAGCAAGCGAACATAATTGTAAAGTAAATAAACTCTAAATTTTTTTGCAAAACAACTTTCTTTTTCATATTTATGACACGATTCTGTAGTATATTTAGACGTACACCAAACTTAGGTCTCAAATATATATTCATGGGATTTTAATATCAATATGGATATAGATTAGCGAGCTAGCTGCCCAGCTAATATTGCTGATGCCATTCTCAGAACCTCCATCAGGATTGACTGGAGTGTAGGCAATGTTTATGTTTATTATAAAACATTCAGTGACTAAGAAAACCTGCTAGCTGTTTTGATTGCTAGCAACTTTGCGTTATATTTTGTCAGTCGTATACTTTTAAGGCATCTCTTGTCAACAAAATCACGTTTTTGTTTTCTTACGGTATTTACTAATAACATGTTGGCTTAAGTGTTTTAATAACAACACTATAAAATCGCTCATTTTAAAAACGTTTACGTTACAAGAATATAATTAAAGCAAGCATTTAGTTTTTTATTGAAAAACTGCAGAATGAAAAATCTTAGGCTCTATTTGCAATACCACCCCACGACACTAGATGGCAATAATGGCAACAGTGCCACCTCCTCTCTGGGGCCTCAGATAGGTACCACAGGAGAGGTAAGCCTCAGGCAGTCACCAAATTCAGATTCATCCATCAGCTGACATTTGACATAGTGATCTTAGGCTTGCAGCTGCTCATTCGTATAATCCCATTTTATGAAGATCCTGATGCTGATGCTGCTTCCAGAGGCAGTTTGGAACTCAGTGATGCAACAGTGGATAGATTTTTCTGTACTGCAAAACTTCAGTTTTTTTTTCTGTTGTTGCTCTTAGACGCTTTCTTTTTTACAATAAAAGCACTTATAGTTGACCGGGGCAGATCTAGCAGGTCAGACATTTCACAAACTGACTTGTGGCAGAGGTGGCATCCTATGAAAGTACCACTGAGATCTTCAGAACAGCCCAGTGTTTGTCTATTGAGATTGCTTGGCTGTGTGCTTGATTCTGTACACCTGTTAGCAATAGGTGTAGCTGAAACACCTGTTGGCCATATAGCATGCATGCATTTCATGGTTAGATGATTATATAAGGCTTCCTAGTTTGTCTTGGTTTCAACAGAGTAGTTTGTTACTGGTTAATTAAGTCTGTTTTTGTGCGTATTTAGAAATCAGTTATGATTAAAATATGTGTCATTCACTAAAAAGGTAACATTTGCCAATTTTAATTAAAGTTAGCTAAAGCAGCCTTTTTGACAGATGATGCCTATTAGAATAAGCATTTATAAACATTTGGATACAGTTATTCCAATTTCAATGACAAGCTTATGTAGGTGTCATGTAGTCTTATGAACAGTGTCCTACAGTAAAGTGTTGCGAAACAATATCTTGCAGTATTGATTTGATCAACTGGACCAGGCAAAGGCCCCATGGGATCTTGCAGACAGTGGGCTGTGGAATTATCTGGTTACCTGATTACCTACAAAAGAGAGTAAAATCACCCAAACAGTTGAAACTAATGCAGCCATCTCACCAGTCACGTTTATAATAGCTTTTTAATGTTTCACAACAGGGCTAATAACACTGGAAGCTGCACTGTTCTTGTTTTATTTGCATTGTTTTTAAGCTTGTGAGAGAAATCGTCATTAGCCAGTTTTTGCTTTGAAAGAATATATATACATTTTACTCGTCTTTGTATGGAGCCCCTCTGGTGATATCCTGTATAAATAAAAATAAAGCATGGCTATCACTAAATAGGGCATTGGAACAAGATACATACGTCATGTCCATGACTTAGTAAGGCATGGGAACAAGATCCTAATGCGTGGCCACGACTTAGTAAGGTGTGGGAATGAGATCCTAATGCATGGCCACAACGTAGTAAGGCATGATCTCGTTCCCATGCCTTACTAATTCGTGGCCATGCAGTAGGATTTTGCTCCCACGAGTTAATACAGCGTGGCCACACATTATTTTTATTTGTATGGGATGTCACCACCAGGGCTCCATATCTGTGTAACTAAGCAATGCATGTATAAAAATTGCTTCAAAAAATGTTCTCAAAAATGTACGCTAGTTTTTTGGTGTGTCTCTTTGTGAATATTTCGTATCATTTCTTTATCGCAGGGATCACACTCTGGGATTCGGAGATGCTGATGAGAAATGTAAATGTGCGTCCACAGCCCAACACCGAATTCAAAATCATTGCATCAGATTCCTCTGAAGACAAGTTGTCAGCTCTGAATGTGGCTGCATCTCTCGAGGCTAGCTTTCTTTCTGGGTTAGTCAGTGTAAAAGGTTCAGCGCAATATTTGAATGATAAAAAAAAATCAACGCGCCAGTCTCGAGTCACCCTACAGTACAAAACTACTACACGCTTTGAGCAGCTGACCATGGAGCACCTTGGGGCTGGAAACGTTCAGCATTGTAATGTATTTGAGGAAGGCTCTGCCACACATGTGGTCACTGCCTTGCTGTATGGAGCCCAGGCATTTTTTGTTTTTGACCAAGAGGTTTCAACCAATGAAAGTCACCAAGAAATACATGGGAACCTACAAGCATGTATCAAAAAAATTCCAACAATATCAATTGAAGGTCAGGCTTCTTTGGACATGACTGATGATGAAAATCAGCGCACCAACAAATTCACTTGTACCTTTCATGGAGATTTTGCACTGGAAAGCAATCCAGTTTCTTACCAAGACGCCATTAAGGTGTACTCCCAAATCCCGAAGCTTTTGGGGGAAAATGGAGAACATGCAGTGCCTGTATCTGCATGGCTGTACCCCCTGAGGAAACTGGACTCAGCAGCGGCCCAGATGGTCAGGGAGATAAGCGTCAGTCTGGTACGGGGTGCCCAGCGCATCAAGGATGAACTGGACGACGCTGATATTCAGTGTCAGGACCTGATGAAAGTTGACATGGCTATTCAGTTTCCAGAAATCAAGGCAAAGCTTAGAAAATTCAAAAGCTTGTGTTCAGAGTACAAACTGGTGTTCCAGAAACAGCTCAGCAAACTTCTTCCATCTATAAGGGGTGGAGGTAAGGAGGAACAAGATCTGGTGACCTTGCTAACCAGAAAGGAAAGGTCGCCATTCCGAAGTGTCCTGATGTCTGCTTACCTAAATGATAGAGAGCGGGAAATGAATGTCATCAGATCCTACTTGGAGATCATGACAGAAGTCCCAGTCCTTTCCTCCAGCAAGGATTTGGACAAAGCAGTGCTGAAGGCCAACACTGACTATGTAGTGGCTTTTGCATTCTCCTCTCTAAAAGAAGAAGAATCATACCTTTCAGACCTGGAGAACTATCTAAAGGGAGTGTCAAGGAGCGGCGAGGAACACTTTTCCTATGAGGCAACCTCTCCAAAAAAGTCTGAACAATGGTTTTGCTCAAAGGATGTGACTGCACTTACCAGACAGAACGTCCAGCTATTTCTAGACTTCAAAACAGCCAACAGTGGAAGACAAAATATAGATTTCTTCATTGTCTCCATTCCAGACAATCTCATTACAGCCTCATCAATCCATGTTTATGAGAAAGGCACGTGTCTGAGCTCTGAGTTCGAGCTTCCATCTAAGCCACCTGTGCCCACTGTCTTGAAGGCTGAGCATGACCGTATCCACTTGCAAATCAAGCCCCTAGCTCACGGCATTAGTAGTGTGGAGTCATATTGTGTCTCCCATCAGACGGTGCCAAGCTCAGACTGGACTGAAGTGACCACTGAGGGGAATTCTCTCAATGTTACAGTCAAGCAGCTGGAGCCGAATAAAGAGTATCGCTTCAAATGCAAGGCTGTGTGCCGGCCAGGGATGAGTCTCAGTAGCGAGGAAACCGCATTTTTCAAAACCCGTCCATGCGGGCCTCCTGGAGCACTCAGATTGAAATCTAAGGAGTCTGATAAAATAACAATCACATGGGACATGCCTACATCTATTGGAGAGGACATCCAGGTCATTGGGTATGTGGTGGAATTCCAGGAGCAACCAAAGAAGGAGCAGACAGCTGAAGTGTGGGAGTCTGTAAGGATCGCGAACAGACAGTACACAATTCAAGGACTGAGAGCAGACACCGATTATAGGATCAGGGTTTTGGCCAACTGTGCTCCTGCAGGAATGAGCCTTCCCAGCCCTGAATCTGTGTTTACTACTACCAAACTGTCTGACAAATCAGTGCAGATGAAGTCAGCTGAGGCCAGTAGTCAGCTATTTTTGGAGAAATCCTTTCTCCTGAAGAAAGGCAATCCCTCCGTCTATGTTCTGAACCAAGAAACAAAATTTCGTGAGAATGAGAAATTTAATCAGTACGCCTTTGGAAAAAAAGTAGAGCAAGGGCAAAACAAAGTGCTCCTGCTGTTAGGGTCCACTGGTGCTGGTAAAACAACACTTGTCAACGCTATGGTTAATTACATTCTTGACGTGAAGTGGCAGGAACATCATCGCTTCAAACTGATCCATGAAGTCACCAATCGGACACAAGCAGAAAGTCAGACATCTGAGGTGACATCATATGAGTTGTACAACCAACCAGGCTTCCGGGTCCCCTACTCTCTGACCATCGTGGACACTCCAGGATTTGGAGACACTCGTGGAATGGACCACGATAAACTTATCATTGAGCAGGTGAAGAGTTTCCTTTGCAGTCCTTTGGGGATCGACCATATTGATGCCGTCTGCTTTGTCGTTCAAGCCTCCCTTGCCCGCCTTAGTGCCGTCCAGAAGTACATCTTTGACTCGGTCCTCTCGATCTTTGGCAAAGACATTGCGGAGAACATAATAATACTGGTGACATTTGCAGACGGGAAAGATATTCCAGCCCTCGAGGCCATCAAGGCTGCAGGTTTGCCATGCCACAAAGATAGCAAGGGCTCTCCCACTCACTTCAGGTTCAATAACTCAGTAATGTATGCCCAGAAGAATGTGAAAAACACCTCTGAAAGCGATTCGGGTGAAGACGATGCGGAGGAGGAAGATGATGAGAAGCTTAAGGAGATTGTCTGGACCTCCAACTTCAAACAAATGAGCAAGTTTTTTGTTAAAACTCTTGCAGTCATCAACAGCAAGGATCTGACATTGACTAAAGAGGTCTTGGAGGAGCGAGAGCGTCTCGAGAAAGCCATGGCTGACCTGACCCCACAAATCACTGCTGGTCTTTCTATGCTAAATCAGATCAAAGCTTTCAAGGAGGGCTTGAAGAACGAGAGCTCAAACATGAAGCAAAATGAGAACTTTGAGCAAGAGGTGCCAGTTCTCAAGGCAAACAGAGTACCTGTTAATTGCTACGCCGTGAACTGCAACAAATGCCTGTTCACATGTCACTCAAACTGCTTCCTCCCTGAAGACGATCATCTAAGCACTTGTGCTGCAATGGACAAGACTGGACACTGCACCGTCTGTTCTGGCTTCTGCGATCATTCTGCTCACGTAAAGGAGAAAGCCTTGTGGACCTACGAAACAAAAATGGAGAAGCAAACCATGAATGAGCTGAAGGAGAAATTCATGAAAGCCAAAGGGAAATTCATGAACACCAAGCAAATGCTGGAGGAGCTCGAATCTGAATTTGATGTAATAGAGGAAAAGCTGAGGCAGCTGATTAAACTGTCCTCCAGTTGCCTTCAGAGGCTGAATGCGATCGCACTGAAGCCAACATCCCTGTCCACAATGGAGTACATTGAAATACTCATTAAGACAGAAAAGGAGGAGAAGAAGCCTGGATTCGAGGACCGCATAATTGGGCTGCAAAAAATTAAGCAAGAGTGTATCATTTTGGACAAAATTGCAAGGGGAGAGGATCTGCTCGAAAGTGAGCAACAGGTCATTGTGGAGAGAAAGAGACGACTGAAGACGGTCGCAATGAAGGCTAAGAAAATGAAGGATGTTATAAGACAATGGGAAAAGGTAACGAAGCCTGAGTAAAACACAGGGTGATCTGTAAGGGTGCAGTGGGAAAAGATTGGAAGTAATCATTCATTTGCATATTCATACAGTGTCTGAAAATGTAAGCAGCAAATGAACCTTGCTTGTAATTTCTTCCTTGTGAAACGTCCTTGCAAATTAGGAAATTCTTGAAAGGGTAAATTGCTATTTTCTGGGATAATCTTACCTGATAATGGAGGGATTTTGTTGTAAAATACACTTTCAACATTTTTTTTCATATATTCATTGCTAGAAGGGGGGGTTTACATATCGCTACTGTCAGAACAAAACTTTGTATCTCCATCTTTGTCGTTTTCACTTTTTTGACATAATTTGAAAATGCTTGTTTCTCTTTATATTGTGAATTTCATGATGAATTGACCAAGAGAAACGGCCCAGAATAACTTCTGGGCCATTCTGGTTCCATTGACTTACATTAAAAGTAAAGTATGTTTTTTCCTTCTCCTGTAAAGTTACCATTTTGGAGATATGAGGTTTGGTCCGAGACCAGTGATATCCAGGAAATGTCAATGCTACATTATCATTAATATCAATAACAGAAAACTTTTTTCTTTCTTTTACCAAACTTTATTTGCTATGTATGTTTGATTAAGAACAATTGTAAGACATTTATATGAACTTCTTTGAATGAATAAAGTCAAGTCCAATTCTACTGATCTGACCCTGTTTGAAAATTCAGTTTATATCACAAATAAATCAAATTTTCAGCCATAGCTCTGACTAAGAACAGGCTCTTGGCTTTATGTTTAGTATGTAAGCATATCAACATAATTTACTGATCTCTCATATATTTCCAGCACTGTAGAAAGTGGCTCATCAGATCAAAAATTACTTAATGTAGTAACAAGCAATTGAACTAGTTTTAAAAATTACATTGACTGGAAGAATCGTTCATTCAAAGTGTTTATTTAGGTTGAATAAAACTAGCTCATTTACTTGTTACCACATGAAGTAATGAAGTATCGCATTTTTTTACGGTGAGTGTTTACACAACACACAAACAAACACACACACACACACACACACACACACACACATCTAAACCACTTATCCTTCTGGGTCAGCAGGGGTGCTGGAGCCTATACAAAGAATATTGTAAATATAATATGAATGATGTGTAAAAACAGCTTAAACGGCTTAAAAACTGCTGACCAGACCTATATGAGAACTGTGTGGACGTGGCTAATGAGCAGCTTGATTGGCAGCTCGCTGTCCAGCACTCCCAGCCTCCTCCATTGCTCACACAGAACTAAAATCATTGTCCAGCTTTTATGTGACGGTAGCTGGACGAAAAAAAATCACAGTGAAAAGTTAACTGACTCTGAAACTGTTTTGTGTGGGCGGGGCAAGAGATATCAGCCCTGTGATTGGTTAGTGGGATGCTTATGAAAGTGTTACCTAAGATTTGACCACCCAGTTTACATCTAAAGGAGAGATATGGTGAAATACATTGGTCATTTACTGGTCATTAGAACATGATCCAAAGGGTGTACTTAGTGCATATTAACTGTTGGCCTGCAAGAACAAGATTAACCTAATTAGCAAGAACACACAGATTTAGCTCTGTTTAGCTTGTATTCCAAATAAGTGAAGAGTAATTTACTTGCTGACATCCTGATTACATGATTTTTACAGGAATTGCAAGCAGTTTTAATATTTAATCCTGTTTTTCAATTTACAATAAATTTTACAAGTAATTCAGTTTACACATGTGAAAATGACATTGTTACTAGTCGACATTTAATATTTATAAGTAGAGTTTCAATTTTCACATGTGTATATTAAATTCCTGAGATCAAGAAAAATAAGAAATAAAGGCTAATATGGCTTGTCATAGTAATCGGAATTTCAGCATGTCCATTGTAAATTAAAATGATGTAAAACTGTAAAGCACATTAGTAAGAATTGTTACTGGGGTTAGATGTTTCTTATAAAGTGGTCAGTGAGTAAAAGCACAAGGTAGGTGTTTCCAATAAAGTGGTCAGTGAGTGAAAGCACAAGATAGGTGCTTCTAATAAAGTTGCCGGTGAGTAAAAGTATAAGATAGATGTTTCTAATAAAGTGGCCAGTTAGAGGAAGTACAAGGTAGGTGTTTCTAATAAAGTGGCCAGTTAGAGGAAGTACAAGGTAGGTGTTTCTAATAAAGTGGCCAGTGAGAGGAAGTACAAAGCAGGTGTTTCCAATAAAGCGGCAAATGAGTGAAAGCACATGGTAGGTGTTTCTAATAAAGTGGCCAGTGAGTAAAAGTATAAGATAGATGTTTCTAATAAAGTGGCCAGTCAGCGGAAGTACAAGGTAGGTGTTTCTAATAAAGTGGCCAGTTAGAGGAAGGACAAGGTAGGTGTTTCTAAAAAAGTGGCCAATGAAAGGAAGTAGAAGGTAGGTGTTTCTAAAAAAGTGGCCACTGAGAGGAAGTACAAAGCAGGTGTTTCTAATAAAGTGGCCAATGAGTGAAAGCACATGGAAGGTGTTTCTAATAAAGTGGCCAGTCAGTGGACGTACAGTGCAGTGCCACCTCTACATTATATTAAAACATTCTGATCTGCCAAGTTGAAAGGATCAATTAGATTTTCAACTCATAGAGAGAGCAAGTTCTCAAATTCAAATGACTTGGGGGCCCTCTAGCTAGGTGGTCTTCTTCGCAAGGGGCAAGTAGAAAAATCTAGGGAGAAAGTGTCCCATATTTTTTTTCAATTATGAATTTTAACTACATATATGCACTCATTCAAGCGCAATTATGCATTCCCTTTAATTAAATTAAGTTACATTTACCAGTAGAACTGGGCGGGACTCTTATTATGATAGTATGGCAATTCTGCTGAACATAAGTGATGGTGTGATGAGTGATAGAGAGCAGTTATCTGCTTTCACAGAGGATTTGTTTGATAATTGTGTTCATATTTTATTCTGACCAGCTGTATCTACTGCTGTGTTGTGAATGAGTCAGGCGTGTGGCAGACCCGCGGGCCGCTACGAGACCCCTAATGTCGAGAAAGGACTGTTTTACTCTGTTTGAAGGTCTTGTTGGTATTCAGTAATGAACATCTCCACAACAATGTCTGAGTCCACCTTGCCCTGAGACTGAGACGAGTCCAAATGATGTCCAGACTGTTAATTGTAGCTCTCATAACAGAGACTGGAGTACTACAACTCCGCCTTCACTATCCATTTTTCAAGCCTTACATTGTGTTTGTGTACATTGTGTTCTGCCAAATGCAACACTTTGAAAACAAAACTGTGTCATACAATGTCTGAAATGAAAACTCAGGAAAGAATAATCAGATGTCAGTGCATTTATTTATTTGTTTGTTTATAATTAAACCATTGTTAACTCTGTAACGCTTCTCATTCAACATTAAAAAAAGGCTTGTTTGAACAGCTGGAGTTCATTCTGAATGTCATTGAATCTCAAACAGCTGGACACGTCACAGGTGAATCTTCTCTTATTATAAAAGTGGTCAATTTTCACTGCATTTTAAAGTCTTAGTGAAAGTGGTCTGTCATGGCACTGATTGATTTCCCATTTAAATGTAGAATTTAGACAATAATAAAAAATAATGAAGTCATCAAACCAAATTAACTGTTAATGTGATCTGCATAGTATGACTGCGGTTTCTCCAGTTCTTCTTGAGTGTCTGTGAACAGAAAGAAAACACTTTTAGCTTTAACTTGTACTACATGCAAATTCTCTGGTCACATGTTTTTTTTTTTTACCTTAATCTCAACGTAAGTTAGCTTAGGTTTGTGCTGGTTTACGTACTAAAAAACAGTCCTAATTCATTGCTACATGACCATTTTCCAGCCCCTCTTAATCCTTTAGAGCAAGGATGTCCACAAATCTTAACCCCAAAAGGACGGCAGGTTTTCCAACGAAGCAGGAGAACTCGTCTGAAGACTGAGATCTTACGTTAAGATCTGACATGTTAAGTTAAGATTTTCACACACGTGTATCACAGAAGCAAATCTTATCTTAATTTGGGGATTTTATCTTATCTTACAGAATTTATCTTATCTCACGGTAGGAAATCCTAAACTACTCGATCAAAGTCGAAAATCAACTGTCATATCTGTTACCTAGCAACAGACCAAAACTTCATCAAACGCTTCATTAATTAAAAATGTAAGTTACGGCTACTGTTACCGATGTAAAAAGGGTCAAAACAAAACTGTATGGCAATAAACTGGAGGTTGCGAATATTGTGAGAGCGCCCCCTGCTGTTTATCTGCTGAGCATCGCCGCTGCTCAGTTTCAGTTTCCATTTCTCAAAAGCTTTAGCAGAGTGCGTTAACGTTATTCATCCTAATAAACAAACACACGTTCAGCTCTGTCTCCTCATTATTCACCACCATCACTGTAACATTTCATCTGATGACTTTTCATCAACATTAACACACAAGGTAATTAGAGGGGATGGTGGAGATCGGGTCTGCAGCTTCTGGGGTTTTAAAATGTATGTTAGAAATCTTACAATTGAAACAACCATTTTGCAAACCAAAAAAAAGGTAAGTTATTATGCTAGTAGTGAATTCTGTTGCCTGTAACAGTCTAAAAGTGATAGAAAAGACATTAAAAACAGAAGTTGTCCTAAAGTTTACCCAGCATTTAGGAGATTTAGTCTAGTTAGTATGGTGTGTAATACTGTTTTCTTATCTGGAGTTAATGGATAAAATAATGAAGTTAGGAACTGTTATTCGTTTCTGTAATACGTCTCCAGGGGGAACCAGGTGTTCTGCTGCTTGTTTGAAATGAGAACCTGCAGCCACACCAGCCTAGTGTGGAAAGATTAGGCACTCCTGCCTACTTTCTTACTGCGACTTTAAGACTGATATATGTGAATGACTTCAGTCCAAATTGAATGGCCTTTAAAAAAACAACTCATCAAAAAGCAGCCCAGGCTCAAACACTCCTTATAACTTCAGTGTGAGTAGGTGGGGCTAAACTGCTGTAGGCAGTAAATGGGACGGTTTTGACGACATCAGAAAAGCTTTGAATTCAAAACGTGATATTTGTGCAACTTAGTTGAAATATATGAACTGTTTGGAGTGGGTATGTTTTAAAACTATAACAGTGAGTGTGTTTACATGCACTCAATAATCTGATCATAATCAGATTTCTGCAGTTATCTGATTGTTTAAGTGGTCATGTAAACTGCACACTCTGATTTCTTTGATTGGAGTAAGGTCTTGAAATCTGATTAAGAATTCCAATAAAGTAGTAGTCAGATTTCTCAGTGCATACAAACTCTTACTCTGATTTCTTTCGGATTTCCGAGTCTGCGAATGTACGAAAACAAACTTTTGGAGCGTTGCTAAAACTTACTACATACGTGACAAAATTAAGTTTGAGTGTTACATTACGTTTACGTCACGTCTTCTTCTGTGAGTCTATTGGCTGGTTGCAAAGCAGAAATCTGATTACTGCCTGACTCATGTAGACCTGGATTTTCACATTATCTGATTAATCAAGTGCATGTAAACACGTAGATCGGATTACTGACAAAATCTCATTTTCTGCAGTTATCGGATTATTAAGTGCATGTAAACACACTCAGTGTTTATTTACTACATTAAACTTATTAATATCAAAAAGGTGAGCATGATGATGGACCGTTTACAGACAGACTAATGCAGGTCCAAGACTGCTTAATCATGTCTGAAAGTCAGTGCACTGAAATAGTGTTGCATTACATTAACTAGATTCAAGTGAGTCCATCATTTCCACATGAATAAATAATATTACAACACCGACTTGTCTTTAAATTGACTTACTGTTGGTGATAATGATGTGTATGTAATATATGCTGCTCATGTAAAAATGGTGTATAGATCTGAATCAGTTAACTCTAATGCATCACTTTTACCTCCTGCTTGTCTGCCTTCAGATACAGCTGAAAAGAGTAAATAACACCTAAATGAAATAACTCTAAATATAATATTTGAACAGCTTTACCTCCATTTGATGATCTTCTCCCCATCAGTCCAACAAACATCTCTCCTTTATTTCCTGACAACAAATAACAGATGAACTAAAGCTGAACAGACCAGAGGGAACAAGAACAAAGCAGCTGGGAAAACAGAGAGAGAGAGAGAGAGAGAGAGAGAGAGAGAGAGAGAGAGAGAGGAGACAGAAATATAGAAAGAGTGAGGGAGAGAGACAGTGAAGATATGAAAGACAGAGACAGACCGGCAGCAAGTGAAGAGAAAAGAGAGAGAGAGAGAGAGAGAGAGAGAGAGAGAGAGAGAGAGAGAGAGAGAGAGAGAGAGAGAGATGAAGAAAGAAAAGAACGAGACTAAATGACAAAAGTGGAAGAAAAAAGGGGACAGAGTAAAGAAAAACTGCCAGAAAGAATGAGACAAGAGAGAGATAGAGGTGAGAGGGAGAACCAAAAAAGAGAGAGATAGACATAGAAAGAGAGGGGCAGAGAGAGAGAGAGATGGAGAGAGAGAGAGAGAGAGAGAGAAAGAGAGAGAGTGAGTGAGAGAGAGAGAGAGAGAGAGGGAGAGAGGTAGAGAGTGAGTGAGAGAGAGAGAGAGGGTGAGAGAGAGAGGGAGAGAGGTAGAGAGTGAGTGAGAGAGAGAGAGAGGGTGAGAGAGAGAGGGAGAGAGAGAGAGAGGGAGAGAGGGAGACAGATGGAGAGAGAGAGATAGAGAGAGGGAGAGAGAGAGAGAGGGAGAGAGGGAGACAGATGGAGAGAGAGAGATAGAGAGAGGGAGAGAGGGAGACAGATGGAGAGAGAGAGAGAGAGAGAGCTTACTTTTCCTACCGAGTCGTTGAGGCTGAGACAGTCCTGAGTGAAAATAAAGTGGAGTTAATTTAATGAGGTGTTCAGAGTAAACAGAGTGAAATATAAAGGTGGGAGTGCAGCTCTAGACTGGTGACTCTCCAGAGGTCATCCTCACCTGAGCTCCGGCCCATTAACCCGTGGAACTGCTGTGATTTGGAGCGCTTCAGCAGGTCAGTGAAGTGCAGAGTTAAGCCGCTGTCCTCCGGGTCATCCTGAAAGAGCAGAGTGTGAGCTGCTGCAGGCTGATCTGGATGGAGATCTAGTGTGAAAGTAAAATGAGAGTGAGGGGCTCACCTGCCAGTTCTCCATGGACCACACAGTCCTGTCCTCGCTGGGAGCAGACACAGCGGTGTCCATCTGAGCGTAAAAGACCACCGCCAGCACACACAGCCTTAAGAGCACCATCATGGAATCGGAGATAGAAAACACAGACCAAGAGAACTTATTTCCTCCGGTCTGCTGGACAGTGTCGGAGCTGAACCTGTCGCTGAACCTGAGCACAGGGCTTATTTATACACCAGAGCCCCTCCCACCCCACCACCCACCACCCCATGCTCCCTTTATTACAGCACAGAGCTGTCATACCCTCTCACACACACGTACGTTTATGTCTGCTTTGTTTGCAGTGTGAATTACGTCTGTTATAAATGGATTTTTACCGTAAATCTCTTCCTGATATCAGAAACCACTTTTTCCTTCATTTAAATGTGTAATCAAAACAGCCATTACAAGGTATTAATTTTCAACAGATGTTTCTGAGAAGATTAGATAAAACAACCTATATGCATAAGGAAGGGAAAAGCCAAAGGAAAATAAGTAAAGAAAGTAAAGAGTTCAAAAAATGATTAAAAAAATAAAACAGAAAAAGTCTGTTTTGAGGGTAAATATAAATACTGAAAAGTGATATATAGATTATGTAGATTATATTTAGTTGTTGAGGTGTCTGTGATTTTTTTGGTTAAATATATGTTTTCTGCTTTTTCTCAGATACTAAAAATGAATAAATTCTACAGCTGTACTGAGTAGAGATTGTATTGATGAAAGTGTGGTCTCTTATTTTTCACACAGCAATTCAGTCATTTGGGCTTTAAGGGAAAGGTTCGGCCAAAAACCTTTCACTTTAAGTAGTTCTTTTCAGGTTGTCACCACTTGTGCCTCGTCCTTAGTTATCAGTGTGAAGATTCTTTTATAAATCAAATATTATGATTAACTTTCCAGTCACTTTCAGTTCACTGTGGCAAGACGTTGTTGAATAATGTTGAATGATTGCCGCTGTCAAAATTAAACTGTAAAAATTTGTATGCCTGCCCAATGTTCTTTAAAAGGTTTGAAAATTCCAGCTTTTATTATCCAGAATTACTTGGAATAATATCTGGTTACATTAACTTACATTAAGCCCCTAAATTCCCAGGCATATTTCATCGTAAGGCTTTGTAGATCTGAAGCACCTCATGGACCTGGCAACCAACCAACCAACCCACTCGCCCATTCACTCACTCACTCACTCACTCAGTCACTCTTCATTCACTCATGATTAACAAGATTGCCCACAAGGGGGAGCTACTAGAGTGAAAACAGCCTTGTGTTAGCTGAAATGGCTATTGAGTGTATTGAGCATTGTGGACGAGTAAGATGTGTGTGGTTTCTAGTACTTTAGGGGTACTTCATGCTGGTGCTTTGCATCAATAGCCACGTTTACATGCAGCCTAATAATCCGGTAATAATCTGACTAATAGCTCAATCGGAATAGAATCCATCCATGTATATACCACAATTGGAATAGACTAGTCTGATTGAGGCCGTTCGGAATACAGTTTCTATCCGACTGAATGAGGTGGTTAATCCTGTGAATAATCCATTAAATAGAAGAATAATAACCATGCAAACGCCTGTATCTGATTACATTCCCAATAGGAAAGTTATTAAAAGTAATTACTCTCACTTTGACTGGACTCGCATGATGCTCGTTGTCATGGTAACATCTACACTAAGTGGTACTCAACACATGCGCATAATTTTGGATTGGACTACTTGTAGTTTGCATGTAAACTGAGATTTTCATCAGATTGTATATAAACACCTCAACATTGGCAAAAATCTTTGCATGTAAACACAGTTAGTGACCAGTTATTCTTCAGTTATTGGAGCGAGGAATGGAAGTCAGGACCTGCTGGGGTGTCCTGGCCATTCAAGGGTTTTATATTGCATAAACCCATTAAATTCTAAGACAGGAACATATTTTACAACTACACAAACACAAATACTTGGAGTTATGTGTTGAAAACTAAGTATATAAGATGAATATGTTTGAGAGCCAAGCTCATCCCAGTCCAGAGTCCCAGCAAACAACTACCCATCCTATCCAATCAGTCCAGTCCAGTGCTCCTGAAGCCTGAAGTGTTCCTGTCCAGTTCTCCTTCTGTCCAGATGAGGTGGTGCCCCTCTGATGCAAACAATTCCATCCTCACTGTCCGTCCACTCTCAGAGGGAAAAGAGGTCAGTCGTGAGGGGTTTTTCAATCTAAAATGCTATTACACACACCACCAGCAATCCAGGCTGAAGAACCCTTACAATACATCATACAGTACTGTACAGATAGGCTGGACTTCAGGTGGCCTTATTCAGCTGCATTCAGAAAGTGAGCTTCCGTTTTCTGTACAGTTTCAGACTAAATAGCAGCATCAAGTGGGAATTCTACATGAAAAATATGCGCCTTTAATAGTGTTAATGTTAGCATTTTTAATCTTTATATTAAAGTGCTTCAATAACGTCATTGACTGCAGAATATTCAAATACATACAATCTTAAAAAAGATGGTTCTTAGTAAAGGCAATGGTTGTATTTAGAACCATGAGTTGTAGATGGAACCATTTCATGCTTAAATTATTACTTGCATGGTGAAATTGTTCTTCAGATTGACGGAGAATGTGTTGTGTATGGTTCTATATAGAACATTTTTGAAACTGGTTCTATACAGCACCATTAATGGTTCTGCTATTGTTACACTGAGTGTGTTTACATGCACTCAATAATCTGATCATAACTGGATTCCTGCAGTTATCCGGCTATTCAAATGGTCATGTAAACACCATACTCCGATCTAGAAATCCAATTAAGAAATCCGTTAAAGAGAGCTGGATTTTAGCTCAGTCGTCAGATTTCTCAGTGCATGTAAACTCTTACTCTGATTTCTTTCGGATTTCTCAGTCTGTGTGCGAAAACTGACGGCTGTACCAGAAATAAGCAAGTGTTGTTGCTGTGAGATGCAGCAAAACACTTTTGGAGCAACGCTGAAACCAAAGGCATACTTGACAAAATAAAGGATTTAAATATTCTTCATCTTCTAGATGATGTATGTTCATATTTTCAGGCAAAGCGGCTCAATGTTTACAAAAAAAGCCACAGCATGAAGTTTGAGTTGATGTTACGTTTATGTCGTGTCTTCTTCTGTGAGTCTATTAACTGGTTGCAAAGCAGAAATCTGATTACTGTCTGACTCATGTTGACCTGGACTTTCCCCATTATCTGACTACCCAAGGGCATGTAAATGTGTTGATCGGATTGCTGACAAGATCTGATTTTCTGCAGTTATCAGATAATTTAATTGCATGTAAACACACTCTATGTCAAGCTTGTAACAACAGAAGAACCCTTTTAGGTGCTATATAGAACCACTGTTCAAGATTTGAACTCTGTTATCATGCTTTAATGTGTTTAAATAGTCTGAAGGCACTTTTCGTTTAGCCAAGCTACTCAGCCTTGTAAAGAGCTTTTTGCTGAGCTTGGGCACAAAAACATGATTTTTTACTGGTTATCCCACATTCATCAGCTGCACTGATTGGCTGATGCAGACAAGCAAATTAATGCCATTTCCAAGAAGGAACCTTTTAATTTTTCTACAAATACAGACTATTTGTTGCATGTCTTTAAAAAAACAATCACCACAGTAACAATAAACATCATTAAATGATTTATTATATACACAAACCTCCACTCTACAAAAAATGTATATAATTCTATAAATATAATTCTAAGACCATGATGTACAAACCCAACTCCACACTGGGACAGTGTGTGAAACGCTAATAAAAACAGAAAGCACTAATGAAGAAATGCTGTTTGACCTGTATTAAACTGAAAACAGTACAAGACCACAACATTTTATGTTTCAGGAACTTTTTTGCCTTGAATCTTGGTAAAAAATGAATTTTGCCAAAAAACGTGACAGGAGCATGTTTACCACTGTGTTACATCACCTGTCCTTTTGCAGGACTTAATAATGGTTCAGGGACTGAAGGCACCAACTGAACCAGTGTTAAAAGTCCTTTGTTATACAAGTCTTCAGCTGTGCAGTGTGTGGGGCTTTCATTGTTATATTTTGTACATGTTTTCAATGGGAGCCAGTTCTGCACTGCAGGCAGGCCAGTCTAACACCTGCACTCAGATTACGCAGCCATGCTGTTGTAACACGTGCAGAATGTGTCTTAGTGTTGTCATGTTGAAATAAGCATGGACGTCCCAAGATGGCATTTCTTTGACATTTAAAAAAAAACTGTTGATTTTAAACAGTGTCCACTTACTGTCCACTCTATCAGACATTCCTACCTTGTTGGTCCACCAAGTAGATGTGGAGTCAGAGACTGTAGCTCATTCGTTGCTGCACAGTTTGTGTTGGTCATCCTCTGGTCACGGGACGCTGTTGGCTGGACATTTTTGGTTGGTGGACTATTCTCAGTCCAGCAGTGACACCGAGGTGTTTAAACACTCCAGCAGCACTGCTGTGTCTGATCCACTCAGACCAGCGCAGCACACACTAACACACCACCACCACGTCAGTGTTACTGCAGTGCTGAGAATGATCCACCACCCAAATAATACCTGCTCTGTGGGGGTCCTGAAAAGGGGCTAACAAACAGATGGACTACAGTCTGTAATTGTAGAACTACAAAGTGCACCTATATGGTAGGTGGAGCTCATAAAATGGACAATGGGTGTAGATACAAGGATGTGATGGCTGATCGGTGTAAATAAATGAATGAATCTTCTAGAAAGAATCTACTTTTGCTAAGTTAAGCAATATTCAACAGATTTAACGTGGAGTTACATCAGCAGTATTTGCAATTTTATACTCAACCAACTGAGGGGACTGCAAAAATTAGCTTTCAATTAAGGCGAATTAAAGGTTTATGAAAGCTTTTTATAATATTTACAGATTAATAGAACTCTCGTGCATGATAACTGTGGTCAGGGCACTTTGGTTTGGGACCATGTCTTGAATCCTGAATGGCTTTTATAAAATATTTAAGCAGACTGGGCGAGGGAAGAATGCTATTAGCTCACGAAGGAATGCACTAAATTGTTTGTAAAGCCATTAGGGAGAACAGGCTGTTAGGGTGTTTACTACTGCGCTCTGTTCAGCGTAAATTAGCGAACCTTTTTCAGTGAAGTGGCTCCTTGTTGAATGCACTC